AAATTCCCGGTATTTCTTCTGCCATCTCAGTCATTCTCATTCTTTCCTTGTCATGCTATCGAGTGCGTAGTCGGATAGCCACATCACTCCCACTCAACTCAAACTAACCGCGTATATATGCTTCAGTGATAGAAGGACAGGCACATATAAGGGGAAAAAACAATAAGGATGGAATTAAAAAGAAAAAACACATAAGGACTTAATTCAAAACCCCTTAAAACTACGAGAACTTCCGTATTAGTTTTCCCAAAATTATATAATGATTGATGATTGATTCAATTTATCTTTTATTTTGATGGCAAAAAATTATCGTTTATTTTAATTTTAAACCATATCTTCTTTTTGCCATTGAATTTTAAACTAAATCAATTAAACTAGGTTGAGACATGAGTGAAAAAATTGCCCCGGATCAAAGTGGATTAAACCTCTGATCAAATCAATATTTGGCCTAAGCCATTTAATTAATGTATAGATCAGGAGTCCTGGGAACAGATACGAATATAATAATGATGGTGATAAATCAAGCGAAATTAATAAGTCCAACTTCAAACCTGGGCCAGGATTTTAGGTCCAAATCCTGAGGGCCTAGGGGACCACAATTTCCTCAGCTAATAAGCCCGTTTGGTGTTGGGCCGAGACTTCCAAAATGACCTTTTATGGGCCTTAAAATGAATTGTAGAAAAGAAAAATAGGAACAGGCGACTCCACTGGGGATCGAACCCAGAATCTCTGGTTCCGTAGACCAGCGCCTTATCCATTGGGCCATGGAGTCCCTTGTTTGTGGGCGCACACCATGGTTTCTTTTTTTTATCAATTTCAATACGCTCATCATTGAGCATTATGATTATAAAACAAAATAATTTAGGGTTACCAACAAGTGTTGGTATAAGTGAAAGGAACTTGGACACCCTAAGTGTCATATCCTGGGTTTGATCTTTTGGATGGTGTGTATGAAAAAAAAACATTGTTCAAGGGGTCCCCGCTACGGCGCCTAACAGTACCCCGAGCGAGAGATTAATCTCTTACCATTCAGATAGAAGGATACTCTGGACAATAAAAAAAAAAGTTAATATAATTTTTGGTTCCTCAAGTCTGCTCTCATTTTGATTTTTGTCTCACATTTTAAGTTATAGGTTTTGGTCCTTTAAGACGTAAAATTGTTTAAATTTTTATTGGATCATGGAGACCAACATTTTAAATGAAAAAAAACTTGAGAACCAAAACCTATGATTTGAAATTTGAGAGATCAAAACCAAAATGAGAGCAAATTTGAAGGATCAAAAATTGTATTACCCTAATAATTAATACTCCTCCGGTCCTAATTATAAGACCCAATTGACTTATTTGAGGAGATTAAGGAAGTAAGTTAAGTTGGTTATTTATAATAAATAAGTGTTGTCATTCCTAAAATATCCTTGCTAATTAAGTATATTGGCTAAAACTATCATTATTAGAAGGATTATCTTGGAAAAAAATGCATAAATATAAGAGACAAAATGGATTGGGTCTTATAATTAGGACCAAATAAAAGTCAAATGGGTCTTATAATAAGGACCGGAGGAGTACTATACAAAGAGTTAAAACTCTAACCTAATAATTATCTAGTTAATCACTTTGACAAGGTAAAAGGAGGGTTAATTACGTTAACAAGAAGGGATTAATGGCCAATACGAATCCTCTTATTCTTTTTCCCCATTACAACTTGTAATTGTGTAATTGCTAGGAATTGATCAAAGTCCACTTAATTATATCCCAACCTGCATATTTGGGGTTGTTGGATACATTGACCAGAAATGTTTCGTGTATTTTAATATCAACCCCTATTATTTAATCAGATCAATAAAAGGATCAATAACGTATAAAATCAAACAATGCTATATAATTAAGCAGAAAATTTGCTGGAGAATATGTATATACACACATTTTAAAATCATTTGACCAAAACATTATCGTTTCATTTTTTGAATGCATCTTTCGAATATTTTTTAGTTGTGCTGCACCTTTCAACTCTAATCAACTTTGTAAGTTAATGAACATATGTATAATTAGAGGCCCTAGCTGTGATAAAAATGGAATGCAAGAGCATTGACCTCGTTTTTTAAAGTTATGGTCGGCGTTAAATTAGAGGAATCAATTCCCTAAAATATCACACTGAATGAGTTGAAAAATACTTTGGGCAATTAATTTGCATTACGTGTACTATCATATTTATCATTGACCAAAAAAAAAATATTTATCATTGACCAAACATATGATTTTAGGTATTTTAATCACGCGAAAAAGAGGAAAATACAAACCCCCCCCCCAAAAATCATCTTCTTCCGATGAATTTGAATATATATGTGTATATATATATTGACATTTCTGTATCTATAAATCATAATCCATGGATCATATCATAATTTATTTTCACAAAAATGAAAGTTGACTTACAATAACCACCAGGCATCATTTTTCGTATTTATCGTCATACATAAGATTCGATACAAGGGAAATTAAAAAGCATCATTCAGAATAAATGTCATTATCAACCATAAGAGAGAAAAAAAATCAAATCATTACAAAATACAAATCGTAGTAATAATTGGCGTAGCAGGGAAGATTGAGTCCACATATTGAATAAATTCACATGTGAGGGTATATAAGGAGAACATTTAGCCTATTTTGGAGTACTATATCTGCGTTAGATGATTGGTCTTCCCTTCAGCCTTTGGTGAAAAAAAAAAAATTGCCCCTTTCAACTAAAATTTAACCCAGCTTTAATGAAGTAAATTCATAAATATGAAAAAAAAATACTCCCTTTATTATTCTTAGAAGCCATTAACTCTTGGTTTTATTTTTGAGGCACAAGTCCACAACTCTTGGTGTTCTTTAACACGCAAGTGTTCTGTATTATTCTCATTTTAAAAATACATGAAATGTACATTAACTATAATTAATTATCACTTGTCAGTACATAAATATATAGTACAACACAATTAATATAGTACATATTCGTGCCATCTAATGGCCATGTTACAGAAACGTATATACCCTTCACAACTATATATACACACGAACATATAGTGTATAGTTTTCTACTTGTAATTCAGGCCAGACCAAGCACCATAATCGATCGGAGATACATATAATTACTCAAACAAATATGGCTTCATCGTCGTCTTCACTGGTAAAATTCACAGTGCTCGCGGCTTACTTCATGGTTTTGGTTGCAGTGGTTGCTGCTCATGAAGGTCATGACCATGGTGCTCCGTCTCCTCAACCAGAACCACCGTCTGGTTCGTCGTCGAGGAGCTTTACTTATCCCATGATTGCCGGATTTGTTCCTTTTGTGCTCTCGCTTTTGTTTGTGAGAGACAGAATCTAGGTCTCCTCGTATTGGTTCTTTATGGAACTTTTAATTTAATTTGCCTCTCGACAGATCCTCCATTATATTCTTCATCATGCATGCTTTGGAATAATACTGGGTTCTGTCTACGTTCTGTACTTTTGTGTGTTATTGAATGTATTCATACTCTGCTGTGGATCAGTGTTTTGTGATGTTGATACATTCTTATTTGTTTACTCTCTCTCTCTCTCTCTCTCTACATACAGATATTCTGATTGTTAAATGGTCTGATACCAAATCATACACACAGACATGAAAGATAGTTGAGTTCATTTTTATGAGCTAATTTAGTTGATCAAATCCTTCAAAATCAAAACGCCAAAAGACAGTGAGTTGGGTTTGATATATATCAAGTGAATATTTTCTTGCAATGTTTTCTAGGGTTCGAGAATGGACTTTTGATACTCTTTTTTGACCGGACTTTTGATACTTTAATGATAGGGTTGCAAATTAACCCAATGAGAAAAATCTAATCGCCATATACCAGCAGTTTTGCTCGGATGGAACTAGGCCCTATTTATATAAGTTGGTCCAAAAAATTGGCCCAATTTTTTACATTATTTAATGAAGAAAAGCCTTTTTTTGTTTTTTTAAGAACATGTGTATTCGGATGGCCAATATGCACGTTAGAAAAGATTTTGGCTTGATGGTGAAGCAGTGTAATGTCTCCCATCAAGTCACGTGATCGATTCTGGCACTGCTTGGTTGAAACCGAAACTTCACAAAGATTTATGTTAAAGTTTTGGTATAAAAAAGGGTTATGTGGTTTATCTTGCTAAGAATTAGGAACTCATGGTAATCTACTTGCACAAGTAACCTTCTACACCTATTCTGATTTTTTTTTTTTTGGGAAAAAAATAGTAAGATAAACATGCAATTAAATTCTGGCATTTACGGACTAGCATTGTGCCGGTATTGACAAAAATCCTTGACTGAATTATGATATGAGTGTGCTGTTAACTTGAATTACATACTTGCTTTTATTTGAAATGCATATCACAGGAAATATGATAACAAGTTCTACTTAATCAATTCAACTATAGAGGTCTTTTATGAGACAATAAATCAAGGGATCAAAAGCGGTAATATTGGTGGGATTTTGGCTTAAATATTATCATAATCACTCTTATGGATGACTCTGTTACTTAACTATAATATTAATTATAGTTAACAATATTAATTTATAAATAATTTTATCTAATTAGACTTCGAAGGTGTTTAGGTAGAAGCAAAACTATAGTTTTAAAAGTGTTTTTACAGTATACGAAGTAAAAGATGTTTAGATAAAAACCAAATCATGGTTTTAAAAATAATTTTATGATATATGAAGTAAATATATAGAGAAATTTATCTCGATTTGTATAAAAGTGTTTTTAAAAAACATTTACAGGAGGATCCAAACACCCCATAAATATATTTGTTTTGATTTGTGAAAAAATGTTGTTGAAAGTACTTTTAGCATAACCCAACACCCACTTACTTCGTTTCCTAATAAAATATAATATAATGCAAGGACTACTTCCCATCCTTTCATTAAATTCATAAATAATTAAGTCATACTTGAGGAAGAAACATTGAGGCTAGACCATTTATGGCAGAGGATGGGTGGGGGAAATAGGGTTAATGAGCCATGAGGTGTTTTGGTTTCACATTAGAAATCAAACTAACATAAAGCCAAACATGTTTCTATTCCTAACTTAATGGAACCATTAACAACGATAAAATGCTGAAAGTGAGCTAACAAAGTAGAAAAGAATTTTACAGAAACAGTGAGATGTCACCCTTGAGCTATGGAGCCCTCAAGGACACAGCCTCCCAGCAGCCAACCGTTGCTTTGGCATATCCTCCTTCTTACCTATCAAAGATGCCAATAAAAAGAAGAATGCAGACCACCTGACTATAGTTTCTCTTTCCCATTAGTACAGATAATTTCGACCATAATAATTCCGAACTAGGTCCTAACATGGAGCGATAAAAGAATTTGTTTATGCCTAGCAAGCTTTTCTCTTATCAGCTTTTAAGTGGATGTTATACCATTTCTTCCTCCTCCGTCGTTCCCTTGTATATCTCTTCTCTCTTGCTTGGCCATCTTCTCGCTCCTCCTTGGAAGAACTTTTACTCCTCTTCGTCGTACTTCGTTTTAATGGAGCGACAGTATATGATGAACGTATTTCATTCCTCTGCTTAAGTAGCTCATCAATCTTCACCGAGAATGAAGAATAAATAAAAGTTCAGTGGATTCCATCCAACAGAAAGGAAAAGGAAAGATAAGTTGAGCAGAAACCCTAATCTTATCAAAGACAAAAACTACCGCTTGCATTTCTTGTGTATATCTACTTGTCATCTCTGTAAATTCTGCCAGGACCTATCAAGATTTAATGAGAAACGTGAGATCTGATGAAATGTAATTACAACCATATACCCTGCCTACGTCCAAGTGCTTACCTCTCGGTATTCGGACTCAAACTTCGTTAGGTCCGCCCTTTTAGATAAAATTTGGGCTTCTACACTTTTGAGACTTTCTTTCTCTTGACTAAAAGGCGCAGCACATGAAGCTTCTATAGTGTAGCTTGCACTTTTGAAAAAATTGTCACCTGTAAGAAATTTTGACAGCATATATCAGTTCCTAAATACCGTAATTACAATCAAGAAATATAATAATCAGCACTAAGCTCAGAAGTATTCATGTACCATAAACGGCAAATACATGAGTACCAGCCTTCAGTTCTGTTAGTTCACATGGGCGGAACCCATCTAGCTTTCTGAAAAATGATGCATCAGGATCCTTAGCAGCAGCTGTCTGCAAAATGGTCCGATCACCAAATTGTAGTAATTAAAACATGATGGACGAAATTTTAAGCGAATAGTATTCTTTTACGATAACCACTTACTGAATTCATGGTCTGATCCAATTGATAAACGGGAAAGCCAAGAAAATACATTCCCGCAGAGGTTACCTTCCCTGTTTTTGCACTGTCTTCCTGCAATAACAATTATTAATTTCAACAAATTTCATCGAATGCTCAGAAACTGGAAGGTTTTGGAAAAACACAAGAAAAAAGTTTCAAAATTACTAGAAAGCCAAGTAATCCTGAGGAAAAAGAGAAAATTAATCATATTATTCCACCTTTCACTCCTTCCCTCCCCCTCAGACTGAGACAGGAAAAGCTTAATACCTGGAGTGCAAGACTTAGTCCACCAGCCTCTTCTTGATCAAAATATAGTAACTGCGGAATTCAAACATATTAGTATCGTTAAAATATACACAAATTTCACATATCTTCATGGAGTTTGGAAGGGGAAAACAGCATCAACGTGGAATAACTAAAGCCTTAACATCAGCAGATTTAAAGCAACAGAGATGATTATATAGAGACTAAAATCCTAACCTTGAACTTGCTCTTGTCTGATGATTGCACACGGCAAACCAATCCATCCTGTGCTTGTTCTTCTGATAATGTAACTGAATAAAAGTGAGCACATTGCTTCTCAACCTATCAGATGATATCAACAAAAAATTAATAAAAGACAATCGTTAAGAAGGCCACAAGAAATTGAAATGAGAAAATAGCTCACCCTTTTAGATATAGGCAGCCCCAGTGGAAGCGAATGAATGATCACTGCCCCATTAAGCGCTTCTTCCAAAACAGTCGCCGATACAGTTGTCTTAATTGGCACACCAAGTTTACTGACATGTATGAAGATAACTAAGGATGAAAATGTGGTAAAAACAGCAGGGATGGGGAGCATTCAAGACAAAGAAATTGCTCCTTAGAGCTAAACTAGAGAAACAACACAATGAATGGGCAGAGAATATTTTTTCTCACCTAAAAAGTGCTGCAAATATTGTATTCACAGCACCTAAACTCGAAAGATCCAACTCCAAATCTTGGTTATCTGATTCAACAGCCTGCACCAAACCATGAGATTATGTCACTGGCATTCCATGTCAAAACTAAACAAAAAATGATGTACGGGGATCTTAAAGATGGATGAAAAAAATATAAATCTGGCAAAGCTCATGACCACCATGATGTCTTAATGGTTGATGCCCAAACACAATTTTAATCACCTCAAGACCATAAGAGTCATACTGATGGCGTTTTTCAGGATCTGACAAGATATTATATGCAAAGGTGGCCTCTTTGAACAAATCCGCTGCTTTAGGATCATTAGCATTCTTGTCAGGATGATATCTGCATAAGGAATAAACCTCATTTTAACTTTATTCTACTACGTCACTATTTTAGCAAGAAATTAAAAAAAAATGTATATTCAAATGAATGTCACAGAAGCATAGTTGCTCCTATTTTAGCCCTACTTGTTTTCCCTCAGCAAAAATTTAAGATATGTTCACTACATTCCAGTCATCTCAACGAACTACGGACATTTTTAGCTCATGACACCTTGAAATTAATTAAAATCTAGGAGTTAAATGGAAAGGAGCTTTGATGAATATTCTAGCATTTGCATGGCATTGTGCGTCTTTAATATATCTTCCCTTTTGAATCCTAGAAAAGGGATTACCACGCCTATGAATCCCAAATATCCAAAGAGATGCATTCTCAAAAAATTCCAGGCCCCACAATGAACGGCGGGGTAGTTTTCTAAAAGCTGCAGAGCTTACTTCAGGCGCAAGAATAAACCTCACAGTTGAAGAAACATTTAAACATACTTGAGTGCCAGTTTCCGGTAAGCAGTTTTAATGTCTTGATCTGTGGAGTTTCGTGAGACGCCGAGAACCTCACGAGGGTCCCGCCGGAGCTGCTTCGCAGCGTCGCGCTTCTCTGATTTTGATCTGTCCGTCGGCATTCTCCGAATTCTTCAGCTCGAGAAAACGTAGAACTACTCCGCTGTGGTATAAAAACAAGAAATCAAGAAGTGGAGACGGAGAAATTTCCGGCGTCGGGGATTATCTTTTCACAGTACTCATCGGCAAAATGAAGCTTCAGGATTGGAAAACGGTGAAGGTGAGAAGTGAGAAGCTGAAGTAAATGGAGCTTGAGGCCTGAGCTCTGGAGGAGAGGGGCGGAGACGGAGACGGACAGCATAGAGGACAAGGGAGCGCCAGAAAATGGAGGGGAAATTTGATGTTTTGTTGTTTTTTTTTTAAATATATTTTAAAAAGTTTTTGAAATCGAATTTCGTTGCGGCTAAATGAAACCGGGTGCGTAGTGCGCCCCGACAGGTTAACAATAGGCCGCAAACTTGGGTAAATTTCAAATTTTTTTGTGTGGCCCAACTAAACTAGGGTAAAAAAAAATGAGATTTTTCAAAAGAATAATCCGAGAGAGGGGCAGCATTCATCGGATTAAGGGTTTATTTGGTAAAACCAAAACCACGGTTTCAGAATCACTTTTCCGCAAAACGAGATAACCTCCTCCAAATATTTACTTCATAATCCGTAAAAGCACTTTTGAAACTATGATTTGGTTTCTATCCAAACACCCCCTAAAACTCGCTGGTAGGCGGCCACAATATTGAGAATAAATTGATTAAATTGATTATAGTTCTTAAACCTTGATTGCATAGCATGATTAATAAAAATATTTTAAGAAAAAGTTCAATGTTTTGGATTTTTTTTTATAATGCGACTTATGATAAAACAAACAATACATAGTATTATCACTATTTATAATCATTTTCCTACAAAATATTAGTACTCAAACAATACTTAAGCTATTTTTCCAAAAAAAAAAAGATTTGCGCATTTGAATGTGATTTTTGTGATTCAAAATAAAGGTTAAAGTGGGGGCGGCGGGGCGCGTCAGGCGCACAGGAATTGAGAAAGGGTGTTTAGAAACGAATAGCATTTTGAAACTTCGAGGTTGGGCTGATTATGCTAGAAACAAGATTCTGAAACAAACCCCTAAAATCCATCAGTCTTAATGCAGCGATGTGTTCAAAAGACTTGAGAGGAAAGGCCAAGGAATGGGAGGCGTAATTGGACGGATAAGTAATGATTAGGCATAATCACTGCTATAAAGTTAAGCACTTGAAATTTGCGCGTTATTCATTATGAGGATTGACCACGATACGGTGAACACTGTGTTCACTGTGCTTTTATCTCTGTTGCGTCTGGATTTCAGGAAAAAAATATTTAGTAAAAAGATCATAAAAATTAGAATTATTTAAAGGGAGCAAATGTTAAAATATAAATTTTAAAACACCAAATTACCCGTCTCCCCCTCGTTTCCTTCGTGATTGATTGTTCCACTCATGTTTTTATTTAATGGCTTTTGCACTCAATTTCAAACTAGTGTGGTTTGTTCTCCCCCCCCCCCCCCCCCAATTTTTGAGAAAGTTAAGAGTATTCTAAAATAGCCATACAATGTAGAGAAGTCACTAAAACTCATATATTAATCAATGTCCACAAAACATGCCAAAATCTTTAATGAATAACACTTAACTTACAATTGTAGTAGATCGAGAAAAACTAATTCTTATTACTTACTACCTCTGGTCCTTAATATAAGACTCTGTTTGACTTTTATTTTAGTCCTAAATATAAGATCTCAATTCACTTCATTTCTCATATTTATTCAATTTTTTTCAAGACAATCCTTCTAATAATTATAGTTCTAATTAATATACTACCTCCGATCCTAATTATAAGAGCCCGTTGACTGATTTGAGGAGATTAAGGAAATAAGTTGAGTTAGTTATTTATCCTAAATAGGTGTTGTTTTTCCTAAAACATCCTTGCTAACTGCTAATCAAGTGTATTGACTAGAATTATTATTGTTAGAAGGGCTATTTTGAGAAAAAAAAAGGTATAAATATGAGAGATAAAGTGGATCGGAGTCTTATATTTAAGACAAAAATAAAAGTCAAACAGGGTCTTATATTAAGGACCGGAGGTAGTATTTGATTAGCAAGGATATTTTAGGAAAGACAACACCTACTTAGGACAAATAACTAACTCAACTTACTTCCTTAATCTCCTCAAATTAGTCAACTAGCTCTTATACTTAAAACCGAAGATAGTATTTCTTAACAAAGCAATAAACTAATGGTGGGTAACGCAAACAAACCTAAGTCAATTATGTTCGAAAGTAATCACTAACAGACAATGAGAGAGACGCAAAAAATTCAAGAACAAGTAACTATGTTGTCTCCTACAACATATTCCAGCACCAGTTGTTATTGCCAAAGAATTCGATTACGAGAATTCACAAATGCGTAAAGGCTTTTATCATCAATAAGTTCCAAGGATTTTTTTTTTTTTTTAAATTTTGTGTGAAGTAGAGTGCAAGCTAGTAATAAATACGGGAACTCATTAACCGTCAAATAATAGAGATATCGTATGAGAAAATATATGAAGATTAGTTATGGATAATTTAATCCTTCTAAAATTATATTTTAATATATAATCTTTTAAAATAATTATAATTTTTATGATCCCTCTTCACTAAATATTTTTTTCTCTTTTGTTCTAATTCTCCCTGTAATAAAAGACTGAAATGATAATTCTCTTTGTCCCCCTTTTTTTTTGTTTCGATTTGTATTATACTTCTCTAAACTTGTTACTTGGGATGGGGATTTTATAATTCTTTCTTACAAGGAAATAAAGAAATACAATATAAACAACGTAATAACGAAGCTTTGGCACATTGCGCTTTTTATATAGGGAAAATAATAATAAAATACCACTTGAATTCCAAAAAGACAGATAAGGGACCTGAATAAACAACATGACAAATAGGGCACTGGGTACCAATCTGGAATTCATATTTTCGGCCAAAAGACCAAAATACCCTGATGAAATGCGGGAAGACCGAAAGCTGAAAGTGAAAGAAAGGAGAGAGGAAGACTGGCGCTGATGAAATGCGGGAAGAAGGAAAGAAGAATGTTGGAAATGCTATTATCTTACTCCTTCGCATCACCATTCTATAGAGATTGTTGATTTGGTGGGTTTTGGTTGTGGGAAAGAGGATTTGTAGTGAGAGAGGGAGTGAACCGAAGCGGAAAGATGAAGCGAAAATCAGAAAACTGGCAAGCAATTACGTAACGTAACTGCTGTCATATGCCTGCTGGTTTTTGGTAAATCCCATTACGTGAATGGTAAATTTCACTATACATGTAGTTAATTATGAATTTTACAAAATACATATTGTGATTTACAACTTTTGTAGTGAAAGTGACTACTTTGTTAATGGGTTTTGCAACCTATTTTCAGGAGATAAACAACTTGTTTGTAAAAACTAATAAAAGTGACAACTTTTGTAGTCACGTTGAATTAACTGGTTGTAAAAGCCATTTAAGAAGTGGTCATTTTCACTATAAAAGTTGTAAATATCATTGTGTGTTTTGTAAAATTCAGCGTCAAATTTTATTGATTTTTAGAAACAAGTTGCTCATCCCCTGAAAAGAGGTTGCAAAACTCATTTAAAAAGTGGTAATTTTCACTACAAAAGTTGTAAATATCACTCTATGTTTTGTAAAATTCAGCATGGAATTTTATTGGTTTTTAGAAACAAGTTGCCAATTCTTTGAAAAGAGGTTGCAAAACTCTTTTAAGAAGTGGTAATTTTCACTACGAAAGTTGTAAATCTCACTATGTGTTTTGTCAAATTTAGTAGGAAATTTTATTAGTTTTTAGAAACAAGCTGCCCATCCCCTGAAAACAAGTTACAAAACCCATTGAATAAGTGGTCATTTTTACTACGAAAGTTGTAAATCCCACTATACGTTTTGTCAAATTTAGCGTGAAATTTTATTAGTTTTTATAAACAAGTTGTTTATCTCCTGAAAACATGTTGCAAAACCCATTAACAAAGTAGTCACTTTCACTACAAAAGTTGTAAATCACAATATGTATTTTGTAAAATTCATAATTAACTACATGTATAGTGAAATTTACCATTCACGTAATGGGATTTACCAAAAACCAGCAAGCATATGACAGCAGTTACGTTACGTAATTGCTTGCCATTGTTTTCTGATTTCCGCTTCGTCTTTCCGCTTCGGTTCACTCCCTCTCTCACTACAAATCCTCTTTCCCACAACCAAAACCCACCAAATCAACAATCTCTACAGAATGGTGATGCGAAGGATTTAGTTTCGTCAACTGGATGAGGGATTGGTTTCATCGAGTAGAGGGATTCAGTTTCACTGAGGGGAGGGATTAGTTTTACCGAGTAGATGGATTGGTTTCGCTAAGCGGGGGCAGTTTCTTTTTCGCCGAGTGGGGGGAATTGCTTTCGCTGGGAGGAGGCGAACACAATAAGGGCAATTCAGTCTTTAGGCCAAAAATCAAAATTCCAAATTGGTACCTGATGCCTTCTTTGTCATTTTGCTTATTCAGGTCCCTTATTTGTCTTTTTGGAATTCAAGTGGTATTTTAGTGTCATTTTCCCTTTTATATATCACCTCTTTCTCAATTTTCATATGAATGCACCAGAGATACTTATTTGCCCCGTTTTTATGAGAGATAATTCGAAACATTTTCAACAGTAAAGTAAAATTATATATTTTTCAACATTGCAACCGTGTATGAATTAAAGCAAGATCAAGGCCAAACAAAGGAGAAAAGAAACAAAGAATTAAAGCAGGAGGTTCTCACCACAAGTACAATTTTCCATATCTGAAGAAGCCACTGTTAGAAAGCAAAAGGACAGCTCCCTGTGGAGTTGGTATGCGACCCTGCTTTGGGACAGTATGCTCTCTTCATTATTTAGATTATTTTTTAATTTTAGTGGCTATTGGCTAAGAGTGTGTTTAGATTAGCAGTAGCAAAATTAATTTTTATTTTATCTTATTTTTGCAAACATGAGTTGAGGTAAAATTCAATTAGTATAATATAATTTATATTTACATTGACGTTTATAAAAAATTAGTTTGATAAGTTGAAACTTATTTAGATGACTAATAAAAAAATAAGTTTAAATATAAAATGACTAAAAAATATATGAACTTTA